AAACAATATCTCAAGAGTTTGATATTTGCAATGGTCCCCAGGCCTGGATCTCTGTAGGAATCGAACCTACTGGGAAAAATCCCAAACCATTGAGATCTTTTAATTAAAGAATTCCATATGAGTATAAATGGACTTTGGATAAGAGAAGAATACTTGCTTCAACTATTTCCTGAAGGAACCGTAGAGGGATATAGAAAAGAAGAAAAAGAGAAGAGAAGTAGTAATATAGAAAAAGAGGCTGAAAGGAAAGGAATATAGAAAAAGAGAAGAGATTGAAAGGAAAGGGGATATAGAAAAAGAGAAGAAGCAAGGATAAAAAATTGTTTAAAAAAAAAAAAATGTTCATAAAAAAAAGTTCATTATCGGATAAATGCCTATCACTAGATATTAGATCTGTAGATCTGTATTACATAGATAATAAATTATCATAAAAAATTAATTTAGATAATAGTAGAAATTGGGAATATATATATATATCATTCCATACGATTGGATAGGTAAAAATAATAATAATAAAAAAATGGGTAAAAAACCATTTATCGATCGTAAAACTGCCAAACATTATAAATTAGTTCATCGATCGCAAAGAGATCCATTAATAAATGACGAAGAAGCTTCATCCAGAGTTTTTGTTGAAGTGATTCCAACAAATTTGAAAGTAATTTTTGGTGTGATTTTTTTTTTTGATGGAATTTCTTTATATTATTATATATAATTTACAATCTATATTTAAAAATACCTTAGGATAAAATCAATTATTCTCTAGAAGAAGGAGAAGAAGAAGAAGAGGATACTTTAGATTATGAAGGTACCCTAGAAGATACTATTATTACTAATGATAAAAAAAATCATTTAAAAAATAAAAAAAAGGAAGAAGAGAATATCGAAAGGTTTTTTTTTATTAAAAATTTTTTAATTCATTAATAAAATTTATAATAAAATTAATTCATTAATTAATTAATAATAAAAATTAATTAATTAATAATAAAAATTAATACAATTCATTAAATTAGTCACATTGGTCAAGCAGCTTTATATGGAATATATTATAATGATACGGAATATAATTATCTTCAACATTTAAAACCTATTGGTGTAAATAATGGAGGAGTATTTCTTGAAGCACCTACCAAAAATAATAATAACAATAGAAAAGATTTCCTAAAAGATATAATAAAAGAAAGAGATGATGATAATAAGAATAAAAATAATGATGATGATGATGATGATGATGATAAATCAGTGAGCAAAACCAAACAAGCAAAGGTTTCTGTAGATTCTTTAATAAGAATTAAGATTTATTATTGTTATTTAATATTAGTGATGATAAACAGGGAGAATTATATTAATCAAAAAAGATTATTAAATGATTATATTATATAAAAATACCAATTGTTCCTACTGATTAAAAATACAATTATAGTAATAATAATATCAATAATTAATAACCAATAATATCAATAATAATAATAATAATAATACTTATTTATTTATAGGGATCATCAAAAATAAATTTAATAAAAAATAAAAAAGATCGAAAAGTGAAAATAGTTTTACCAGAAGAAGTTTTACCATCAAAAGATGAAATACCATTCGATCAACTTGATTTCTCTAGTTTTCCAGAGGGTAATTATAATAACTATTATTTATTATATTTTCATGCATTTATATTTTTATGTATTTTATTATATTTTATAAATTTAATATATATTTATATTTAATATATTTATATTTAATTTAATATATTTATATTTAATATATTTATATTAAAGGATTTCAGCCTGATATGGACCCAAGACTTCGAGAAACACTTGAAGCTTTAGAAGATGATGAATATGTAGAAGATGATATAGATGATTATTTTGAGAAACTTAATGTTGATGAATTATCAAATGATGATGATGATGATGATGATGATTATGGTGATGATGATAATGATGAGAATTGGGAAATAGGATTCCGTAAATATCTAAAAAATAAAAATAAATCAAGTAAAGAGAATAAAGAGAAAGATGATGACGATGAAAATGATAAAAGGTCAAGAACAACAGGATATTCTTTAACTAGTTCTATAATGTTTAGAAATGAAAAGTTAAGATTGTTAGATGATCAATTTGAAAAGGTAAAATATTATTAAAAAAAAATATAATATTTAAATACATTTAATACATTAATTATATGTGATTATATATTATAGGTTGAAAAAGAATATATGTCAGATGATGATGATGATGATGATAATCCACCACAAATTCGACAAGATTTCACGCAAATTCTTGACGAATTTATTGATAAATATGATAATGATAATAATAATAATGAGAATAACAAGAAGAATAATAATGATGATAATAATAATGATAATAATGATAATGATAGTAATGATAAATTGACAAAACATTCAACACAATTACTTAAAAAAAACAAAAGAGATAAATTGATAGAAATTGAAAGTGAACAAAGTATTAAAAGTCGACAACCTTGGGATTGTGAATCCATTTTGAGTACATATTCAAATTTGGAAAATCATCCGAAATTAATATGTGATAAGAAAAAACCTATTAAGAAAATTGAAATTAATTCAAAAACGGGATTACCTATTAATAATAATGATGATGATGATGATGATTATAAGAATAGTGATGATGGTGATAAGAATAGTGATGATGATGATATAACAATAGATGATGATGATGATGATGAAAATGAAAAAGAAAACAAACAAGTTAAACGTAAGACTTAAAATCTTGTACATTTTCCAAAATACATTAAACATATTCCAAACACGTTATAAAAATTATATTATTATTATTATTATTATTATTTAGTCAATCTCGGAGCTGCAAGATCAAAAAATGAATCAAAAGAAGAAAAGAAAAAACGTAAAGAAGATATTAAGAAGGAAAGAAAGGTAAAAAAAAATGTATTTTCATATTAATAATATTTAATATATACTTAATACTTAATATTTATTATATTATATTATATATATAAATATAGAATCGCCGAATGGAAAAGAAATCTCTTAAGCAAGCGTTCACCAAGGAACGTACAAAACAAACTAAAATTTCAGAAAATTTTCAGAAAAATTTTGTTGGTGCAATTCATTTGGAATAATTCATTTGGAATAATTTATTTGGAATAATTCATTTGAAATAATAAATATAATATTATAATATAACATATGATTTTTGGATAATTTTTATTATTATTATTATTATTATTAAACAAAATAATGACATCTAGAATTCCCTTCAATTTGTCCAAATTATTCCACATTATCCACTATGTAAAAAATTTATTGTATAATTTATTGTAAAATTTATTGTATATAATAATTTAAATGTACAATAATAATTTAAATCTTAAATAAATTTGATTTCTTTGCTATATTTCTTTATATTATGTTGCTTTGTTTGCAAGTTCTTGACCAATTTTGTAATTCAAAATCTAAAATATGAAGTGAAAAAAAAAGGTTTTAAAATTTCAATAATAATAATAATAATAATTTTTTAAACCACATTTTTTTTAACTAACCTTATCCCAATCGAGTTTGTGACGCGTCAAAGGAAGTGCACGTCTCAGTCCTTTGAAAGTATTTTCTGATAAATCAATATAAGATTCGTTTAATGAACTTTGAAATTCATTTTCAGCGTTGGTAATTGATTTAGTGTAAGCTTTAGCTTTATCAGCTGGTTCCTTAAAAAATAAAAAATGAAATATAAAAAAAATTATAATAAAAATGTAAATAAAGAATATAATAAAATGTAATAAATAAATATAAAATAAAATACCTCAGAATTCGGTGAAGCTGTAATTTCAACTTCCTTGGAAGCATTCAATTGGACATTACCATCTTCAAAATAATGAACATTCACTTTAATAGTTCCTTTTAATTCATTTGATTCAGGTGAAATTACCCAAGTTGAACGCCATCGACCATTCCTGTTATTATTATTATTCATATATTAGATCATGTACGTTATATAATATACGTTATATATATATTTATATATATATATGCATATATATAATATTGATAATATTTTAAATATTGCTCACCATAAATTATGAGGATTATATTTATTATCTACAATAGTAATCGATAAAGTACTATTATCATCGGTAGAATAAACTGACGAAACACCATTAGGATAATGATCTGTGATATATTCTAAAATTGCTGTATCAGTCGCGGCTCTGTGAAAAAAAAAAAAAATTAATTTTAAAATATAATTTAAAACCATTTAAACTATAAATTAAATTAAATCAATAAATCGTACCTTAATGGTTCTATTGACGAATCTACAGTATATGGTTGCACATCTGTTACAGTCTATATAATAATTTATATTTAATATACTAATACTCATAATAATAATAATAATAATAATAACTACTTTAGAGAAATTGAAGGAGAACTTACATGACGCACGTGTTCGAATTTAAAGGTTTGTTGTGATCTGGGATCTAAATATAAATCATCTTCAATTTGTCCATACTTTGATACTATAACCTTAAGTATCGAAATAATAAATTTATATTAATTACCATCTTTAAAACATCATAATAAATTCTATTATTTTTTTCATCATCATTATTATTATTATTATTATTACTTTATCATTTTGGTTGGGAAGAGTAGCAACGATATATTGTTCATGATTGTGTTGTTGTAATGCTGGTTTAATTCCGCTTTCGAATTCTTCTTCATCACCCATTAAAACTTTAAGATCTTAAAAAATTAATTGTTAAAAAACAATCGGTAAATATTTTTTAAATATTAAATATAATCATAATCATAATAATCATCATCATTATTATTATCCTCTCTGTCTAAAAAAAATTTAAAATAATAATAATAATAATAATAATAATAAATAATGACAAATAATGATAAATAATGATAACAAGTGTAATAATATAATAACAATTATATAATGACAAGTATAAGATTTTTAATAATTATAATAATAATTAATAGAAGATAATAACAATTATAATAATTAACAATTATAATATAATAATACCATTATAAACTTCATTAACTTCTCCCGGTGGACTTTCGAGTAAAAAACCCGATACGATTTTAAATTTCTCTTCGACAGGCAATTCAACGAAATTTTCCATATTAACAATAATAATAATAAGAATAATAATACGATGTTAAAGTAATGTCTACTACATACCTTATATACGAAGGATGATCAGAAAATCTAGATTATTAGATTCTGGTGTTACGATAAAAAAAATAAATATATTTCTTCTAAATATTTTTTTTTTAATTTTAAATATTTTTTTAACCATTTTTTTTAATACTTTTGGTGTGTGGTTGTTCTTTTTTTTTTCTCAATTAAAAATCAAACAATTATAACATAATATAACATAATATTACATAATGTCTCATTACACCATTGCTGGTCGCAAAATTGGGACCGAATATGTAAATATGGAAATTTTTATTTTTATTTTATTTTTCGTCAAAGGAAAAAAATATTAAATTAATAACAATAATAATAACAATCTAATAGTGATAATAATAATTTGAATTATAATAATTTTTTATAATTTTAATAATTTATTAATTTTAAAAATTTAATAATTTAATAATAATTGTGTATAGCTTGCATTTGGTACATTGGTAACGCTTGGTCTGGGAGTTTTTATTGCAAAAAGAAGAGTAGATGCTAAAAAACCCGATTTTTTAACTGCTTCTCCTCCTATTGTTTCTTCTGACGCAGAAGAAGAAGCATTCATTAAAGAATTTCTAAAAGCCGCAGAAGAAGAAGACGTAAAGAAAAAACATTAGTTTTTTTTTTTATCCATCCAATCAGTTCATGATCATATTTTATAATTATTATTATTGAAAGAAATATTTAAAAAAATATATCTACAATTAATTTTAAAATATGTATACTTTAATTTTATTGGCTAATTATAAGGTTGTTACAATTATAATTGTTTCAAATAGATTTATTCAAATAAAAAAACTATTTAAACTGCCAAACATTATAAATTAGTTCATTGATCATAAAGAGTATTTAAAGATATTTGAGATATTTGTATTTATACTAATGTTACAAAGTTTTATAATAATAGACAACAAGAAAGACAAATTAAAAATATATATATATATATTGAACCACCTTTCTGAGTCTCGGGTTTTTAATGAGCGAGCACAATAATAACGTGTACGTGGTGTCGGATTCATTATTTGTGAATTCATCACATGGTAATGCATTGACGCCGGATGAAGGTTGTCAACTCAAGAATTTAAAGTTGATGGTAGACTGTAAAAAATGTTAAATGAAAAGAAACAACTTGAAGGTCTCTCTCTCTCTCTCTCTCAATATTCTGAAATGAAAACGAAGTAAAAAAAAAAACTTTGAAAAATGAAAACTGAAGTAAAAAAAACTTTAGAAGCAAATAAAAATCAATTAATTTCTTGTAAAGTTTGTAAAGTGTAATATATTAATTCGGGTAGAGATTTTTTAAGTAAAAATAAAAATTGACTCTTACAGAGACCCATGTAGGAATCGAACCTACTAAAGAAATATATTTAATATATCTTTAAACCATTTGGGACCTTTTTGATAATG